AAAAAAGTTTAAGTCCTACATTAGGAAAGTTATTATGTTTTAGTCCTATTTAGTGCAAATTTCACTTTAAAAAAAGCAAAAGGGTAATACCATCTACTTTCATTAAAGATGGAGCGCCGATAAGAAACTTGGAGCGCTAATATCAGCTTCCTTATGACATGTTCGAAGGTATAAGTAGTATATATAACTCGATAATTAACCTACCTGTTAGATGTTTGGATTTTGTGAATCCATTTATTTGATTTAATTTGACATAAAGTATCTATGGAGCCACACATCAACTTTTTCTTCTTAAATCATTCAATTTTGTGAATCTATTTATTCAGGCCCAATTCGCCAGGCACAATAGCGAAGTAGACAGCCCATACATTTAGGCGGGAACACTATTCACAATTTCATCATAGTTTTATACTCCCTCCGCCCACCAAAGATTTTCTCATTACGCGTTATGAAATTTGACCGACTTTATTTTCAATTCAATTTATTTGTTTTTAACGATAAAGTTTTTAAAAAAATTATATAGTTAAAAAAATACATGAAAAGTTCTACAAAACTAGAGATGACAATACTTTTTTATTTTATGAATGAGTAGTTAAAATAAGTAAACAGAGTGCGTTAAATTTGACCCTGTAAATCGTGTCTGTGAAAATCTATGATGGACAGAAACAATGTATAGTTAGATGACAACCAGTACTCTTTGGGTAGATCTTGAGTTCGAATTAGGTGACTTGCTTAAATATTTGAGACTTTGACTCATTTATTATACTCGTATGTATCACTAGCTAGTACTTATGTTTTAAAAAAATGCCGAAAGGAGGCGGCGTTTTCTAGCGGGTTGGAGCGTTTTCCGGCCACCTCCGGCAAAATTGACGTCGCTCATCCCCTCCAAAGTGTTTGTGGCATTTCGGGGACCCCAAAGACCCCTCAATTGCAAGATTTGATGGCGATTTGCAAAAACTCCCAATTTTGGATTTTAGAGTTTTTTCGAGTGGAAAAATTCAAATTCGAGGAGTTACATGCCAAATTGGACAATATGATTTGGAAACGGGCAAATGGACTTTTAGTGAAAGGATTGTGTAAGTTCGGGTATTTTTGTGAAAGGATTTAAAGTTTAGGTACCACTTCGAAATTTCAGCTAATGTTCAAGTACCACTGGTGAAATTAACCTAATTTTTATGGTCAAAGTTTTTCACCTTTAACCATAAATTATGGGAGAAATGCATTAAATTGTGATAAAAAATTATATTAACTGATTCATTTTGATATGCGGGGTTTGAAATATTATATTTTTATAATATATGTTTTCATTATAAATATAGATATTAATAGTCAAAGTGTTATATTAGAGACTGCAATAAATCAAATGTGAAGAAAGAAAAAAGGACAAAGGGAGTATTACTCTATTTTGATATAAGTTGTTCACTTTGCGTATGTACGGAGTAGTATTTTTAATTTATGCTTTAATAGAAAAATGTTCATGGACTTATGTACCCGTAAAGTCTAAGTGTTTGAAACAAATCGGGGTCAAACCAATTTTAAATATTTGTTTTAACTGTCGGCTCTATCTTGTCATATTTATTTGATAAATAAGTCAGGCAAAGTCATATGAAAATAATTACATTATAAACTTAACCTCAATTTAATATAAAAGTATGTCATATTTCTTAACAAAAACTTGGTTTATCCCATCATATTTTATTTCCCATTTTTGTATCTCTTCATTTCTCCTCCCAATCCTATTATTTCCTAAAAATATCCGCGTTTTATTCTCAGACCGACAATCAGTTTGAGAGAATGATCCAAATCCTAGAGGATATTATGCAAGCTTGCATCATCAACTTCAAAGAGAGTTGGGAGTGATACTTACCTTTGATGGAGTTCGCTTACAACAACATCGACCAAGCTAGTATCGAGATGGCTCCGCACACAGCACTGTATGAAAGAAGCTACAGAACCCTAATTTGTTGGACCGAATGGAGTGAATCTAATCTCGAAGGACTCCACCTCATCTATGAAACGAAGAATAAATTTTTTTTATTCGAGACCAACTTTCGATAGCCTTTGACTGCTAGAAATATTACGTCGGCCTTAGGCGTCACAATGTCGAGATTAACATCGATGACCTCATGTTCTTGAAAGTCTCACCTACAAAGAACGTGTGCTAAGATTTGGGAAGAAGGATAAGTGAAGCTCTAGATTCATGGGACCCTGTTGAGTCGCTGAGCAGGTGGGATCAGTAACATACCGTCTTAAGTTGCCACCCGAGCTGAATAAAATTCATGACGTGTTTCACGTATCCATATTGAGATGTTATTGTTGAACTCTAATTCATGTCAACTATCACCCTTAATGAAAAGTTATCCTACGAAGAGAAACTTGTCCAAATTTTAGTGTGTGAGATAAAGTGATTAATGGACTAGTTAGTTCCCTTCATTAAGGAGCTATAGAGGAACCACTCCATTAGAAAAAACAACATGAGAGACTAAGGAAAGGATTCGAGCTTAGTATCATCAACTCTTCACCGACCAATGACTAAGGAATGATTAAAATAATTTAGAAACTGTTTAGAACCATTGGAGAGTTATTTAGAGTTGATTGGATTTCAAAATGGAAGCTTGAAAATTTATCCCAATAGTTATGGTAACTATTCCGGTAGTTAGGTACCGTTCCGGTAGCTTGGTACTGCCCTAACAGTATGGGTACCACCAGTGTGAGATATTCTCTAGCATTCGTTGGACGGTCTGATACCTATCTCGGTACTAAGGTATCGTTCTGGTATCGAGGCACCGTTGCAGCAGAAGGGGGTATCACCACAGAATTGAAGAAAACTCGATGGTGTTCTCCTGCCTTCCAGTGCCTGGTCTGGTACCATGATACCTTAATGGTATATAGGTATCGTACAAACGACAGGGGGTACTGGATGCCTATCATTTTTAATTCAAAACTTGATTTTTCTTCCTTTTTCAAAATACCCTAACTAAGAACAATATTCAAACTTTTAATAAATTAAGTGAGTGTAAAGACAAGTGTGATTACATCATAAATATCAAACCCTTATCTACATACACTCGCTGAGAGACCTTTTTGTTAAGGAAAACAAGTGTGAGATTTAGGGCTGTTTGTTTCAGTCTTTTAATGGTTCAGATGTCTGAATGGTTCATCACTTAATTGTTCAGACTGTTTGTTTCAGCCTCTTAATGGTTCAGATATCTGAATGGTTAAGAAATTTGCCTCTGAATGGTTAGGTATTATACAGAGTCTGAATGGTTAAGACCTCTTATCTGAATTGATCAGACATTTGTCTCTGAATAGTTAAGCTATATACTAGCTCTTAATGGTTCAGACCTCTTACTGGTTCAGCACTTAATGGTTCAGACCTCTTACTAGTTCAGCACTTACCTATTCAGAAGTTGCCAAACAGCCCCTTAATGCTTGTTTTTGACATGCAAAAGTGTTATTAACTTGAAAGACTTATTTGACACGTCAAAACTTGTATGAAGTTTGACATTCAATGCTAACAATATCCCCTTTTTGATTTTGACAAATAAAGCTTTCAAATATATAATCAAGTGCAATATATAGCTCCCCCTCACTTCATGCTAGGGGTGGGCGTGAAATTCGTTCCCGTTGGATCGTTCCAAAAAATCCAGGATCCGTTTTGTAATTGTACCGATATATTGGGACACAGTTTTTTTTGTCCAAAACCCGTTCTGTCCCAATATCAAATGGGACATGAGCGGGACAGCTTAAATTTATACCGATCCGTCCCGTTTGTCCCGTTTCATCTACTCTAGTAATATATAATACTAATTCTGAGAAATTTGGAACATTCTGCAAAGGAGTCCTAAACTCAACTTTGGGCAGAGGCTAGAGGATCACGACCGAAATGATCCAAACTCTCTGAGACTGTTTGTACTTGACGAGTAGGGGCAGACATTCTGTCGACCTCAATGCCACGAGGGCTTCTCCCTCAGATTGGGCGACGAATCCAGCAGACAAAGAAGGCGAAGCGAAAAGCCAAGACAACGATTCCTAATTCCTAATATGCCACCTCCACCTGCGAACCCGAATTTGGACAAAATAAATAGTAACCTTGAGAGTATGAGCTTGGCCGTTCATTGCACCAAACCGCTAGCTCATAACAATGTGTAACGCCCCAAAAACATACCCTAAAATTTTTAATGAATAAATATTCAATTAGTCAAATTTGTTTCGATTAAAATAAATAGGTATTGGGCTTTGGGCCGAAATGAAATGTGTTTTGACATCCAATATCACAAATCAGGATAAGTCTCATAAAGATAAATCCAATATGTTGACTAATTGGGTAATCTTGGTTGGAACCTGAGTACAGACCCAAATTAAGAATAAATGAAGAAATTATTTACAATGTAAACTTTGAAATGGTTTATTGAAATAAATCATGAGAATAAATAATATGAATTGAATATGACACCTTTTATAGTAAAGGTCAAACAAATCAATTTTGACTCTGTCAAAGTCAACCACCCAAAAATATGATGTCGGAAAAAGTATTACAAATAATTATGAAAAGTATATCGTTGGATAGAGCTCGACTGTCTGATCGCAATGGTGCAAACAGATTTCAATTTGGAGAAAGTTGGACAAAAAAGTGTACCCCGACTCGAACCAAAATAGGTTCCAATCAGGGAACTCTTTAGACGGCGCCTCCTTCCCCACTACGCCGATCGCAGAATTGTGGAGTCACCATAGTTGTCTTCTTCTTCTTTCCTTCTCATTATATAAGAGAACCCAACCTTCTCATTTCTTCACCATTCTTGTTCATTCTTCTTCCTAAGTGTTCATGAAAGTGTGAGAAGTGTTGTGGTGCTGTCAATTTGGTGTGAAGTCGCTGGAGTTGGGAGAAATACTCGCCGGAAAATTTCCAAAACCTCCATTAAGCTTTGAGGTAAGCCCCTAGATATATCTAATGACTAGAATGTTTATATAGATCGATTCTACGTTCATAGATAATCATTTTGATTAGAATGTTTAACAATCGAGTTTTGTGTTTGACATGCTTGAAGAACTAAGAATCGTAAACCATGATTTTGATGTTAAAACTATGAATTAATGATGCCAAAATGATCTATGAACCTTGGAAAACACTTTTATATACTCTAATTGAAGTTTGGTGAGTAAAAGTGACATTTCCGCAAGTTGGCTCGAGGTAGAAGACGATGGATAATCGATTATCAACTTGAAAATCGATTATTCATCGTTCTGCAGATTTTTGGAACAAAGCTGAGCAAGAGTCGATTGTTAGAATGTGACAATCGACTGTCAGCCCTCTCTGAAGTTTGATAATCGATTATCAAAGTGTGATAATCGATTATCAGCCCATTCTGAATATCAGACAGTAGATTATCAGAAGTGACAGTAGACTGTCTCCCTACACTATTGAAGAAAAAATGAAGCTAATAGCTAATAACTGAATTTCCTATCATATATTAATCAATTGTTATTTAGAAAACATGATTTTTGAGTTATGGAATCCTATATTTTGATACCAAACCATTATGATTAATAAAAGGATGATTTCTTGGAATAAAGATGGTGTTTTAACAACTAAAAGGAATCTTATGTGATGCATAACGGTAAGCTAGGGTGTTAACACTCGATGCTAGGCCGTTGATTGTTATTAGTTATTATGTTGATTGATTGATTATACATTTAATGAATATTATGGATTAATGATGATGAATATTCTGGATGAAATGATTGTTGAACTAAGAATATGAATTGATGAATAATGTTGTTAAGGATATCTAGAAGAACTCTAAGATATATCCATATTGATGTTGGTTTCTAATACTATCTAGAAGACCTCTAAGATATATTAGAAATAGGCCTTGCGGGTATGATGCCCGATGGCTAGGGTTAAAACGTACGTACGGGATCCAAGAACCAAACTTGAGTACCTACTCGTTTGGGGGTACCACCCATCCCAACAGTGAACACTACGCTGTCGGTTTTTGGTTGACCTTAAGCGAAGGTAAGTTTAAGATTTGAAAACTTTTTTTAAAAAAAATATATCTTAAACTAGGCCTAGCTTAAGGATTAGAATATCTTGAACTAGAATTAGTTTAAGAATTGAATTGGCCTTAGACTAAGAATATCTTAAGGATATTATTGAATGAGGATGTTGAATATGAATATTGAATGACGAATGTTGAATATTGATTATTGTATATTTGAACTGAATACTTTGTGTATGATATCAAATGATTTGATTATGAATTTGGGTTCAATTTATATGGATGTTCGACGCATTAGATATGCTTACTCAGCTTCACCGCTGAGCGTGTAGTACTCCCTCCGTCCCCCTGTATTCGTCCACTTTTGACTTTTGGAACTGTTCATCTAAGCACTTTGACTCATCAAATTCTCTCAATGTGTAAGCCTAAATATAGTCATGTGTGATCTTGTTTGATTTGTCTTAACATATAGATTATTAATATATAATTTTTATAATTTTTTAACATACAAATTACAAGATAAAATGGATTAAAGAAGTGAATTGGATGGTGTGCAAAACTGAAAGTGGACAAATACAGGGGGACGGAGGGAGTATGTTTTATTTGATACACACAGGTTAATAGAAAGAATGATGTTACGTGATTCTGGAGGCAGACGGAGGCGAGATTGTCGGAATGGATGTGATGGTTTTGAATTAAAGAACATAAACAAATTATGTTTGTAATTATGATTTGTTAAGCTTCCGCAATATTGAAAACTCCGCACTGTATATGTTACAAAAAATATTATCGTGATAAATAAAAGTGTTTGAAAAGTTTTAAATTTTACGATTACTAAGTTAATACTTTAGTCCGAAAGGGACTGCAGACCTGGACGGATTAGGGTGTTACACAATGGGTACATCAGCGATGTTGGAGATGGAACTGAAGTACCACCACATCACAATGACGGCGATCTACGTCATGATAAGTAGTACATTCTGTAGTATTTATTTTTCAATTCTTTATTTTCCAAGCACTTCTTTTATTTTTTAGTATTTGTGATTTTAATTTTAAGCATGTTAAATTTCTTTTTTTAGTAATGTAGTACGAAGTATTTCGTAATTTTAATATTGTATTTATTTATTTTTAATTTTAAATTAATACAATCCTTTTTTTGTTTTTTTAAAAGCTCCGCCTGCCTAGAGAAGCTAGGGCAGAGCTAGAAACTGCACCGGTATCTGGAATTGCTATCTTCTGCATCCCCCGCAATATTGTTCATTCCAGCCATCTCCGCCCGGCAGTAATAAGAAAATGGAGTACCGAAACAAGCTGGTCTTGGCCCCGATGGTCCGAGTTGTAAGACTTGCTAGTCTTTGAGCTGGTTTTTATATTCTCATATCATCCTCTTTTATCTGCATTTGGATTTTCGTGATATTAATGGCTTCCCACAATGCGCCAAATTTTCCTTTTAGGGTTCTTAGGCCTAAGTTTATAATTGAAATATTGTCGATTTTTTCCTAAATCCGTAGTAGTTTTTGAGTTTAGAATTGTACAAGAGTAAAAAAGGGTGATTCTTGCTAGATGTTGCTCCGTATTTGCAGAGTTTTATATGCATCCGCCCCCTTTAAGCTTTGCCAAGTTTGATTGGACAAAGTAATAACCTTGCAGTTGACAATCATTTGGAATAGAGAAACAACATAAGCTGTAAATTTCTTTCCTTAGGAGTAAATTGTCAAAGTTCATTGGGATGGATAGAAAAAAGGAAGTTGACAAAGTTTTTTTGGGACGGAGAAGCGAAGTAGTGTTTTTTGGACAGGGGGTTAATATCTTAACAGGGAACCCTACCATTTAGGTTAATGGCAGTGGACTACGGTGCAGACATTGCATATGGGGAAGAGATCATTGATCACAAACTTCTCAAATGCGAGCGCCGAGTCAATGGTAAGACTGTGTGTGTTTTCCCAATTCTTTTATGATGTGACTTCATGTTTTAATGTTGCATAGTTTGTACAAAATAGCAGCTTGTCTACACATGATGTTTTTTACATTAGAAGATCACTCGAATGGTCTAATAATTTATCAAATGACTATGAGTATACTTATTTTTTCCTTTAATTTTGATACCTCGAGCATGCAAAATTATATTGAACTTAAGGCCACTCTATATTTTCTATAATCTCAGTGCAGAGTTTTGAGTATATGATTAACAACAGCAACCTAGTTGAATCCCACCAGAGTAGGGTCTAGGGGTGTGTGTGTATGCAGACCTTGCCCCTACTTGGAATTAGAGAGGCTATTTCCAAGAAACCCCCGGTTCAAGCATATGTGTATATGAACACAACGACATCTCAGTTGGATCCCACGAGAGTAGGGTCCGGGAGGGTGTACCATGCCTTCAAATTTGTTAAAGTGAAAGCGGATTAATGGGGAAAATTTTGTTGGAAATAACAGGTATCAATGTATGATATGTTAAGATGAATGTCTTGCATGATTACAAAAATTAGAGTTGGAAATGAGGTCCATTTGAAAGTGGGTGTGCTGTTATTGAAGACAATTTAAGAAGAATTGACTATGCTGGTTCATAGACGTTTGTCTGAAAGTGGCAGGTGGTTCTGTTACAAAGAGGGAGTGTTAGAATGCAAGCGAATGGATGAAACGTCGTGCTAAACCAAAGCTAACATAATAGAGAGATTATTGATCAATAAAATGACAGAGATTGGCTGACATAATAGAATGCATTGGAACTTAATGAGCACATGATGCATGATATAATAGACTGAAAAATTGTTGATGGATGACCTCGAGAGATTATTTCTTATTGCTGACCCAATGATTTAGCATAATTTCACTTCAGTTGTTGACTTGTTGGACATTATATGCCTAGTGTGGGTACTGGCAACCTGCAATCCTTCTATGGGAACCGGTGTCAGTAGTTTAATCTCCACCAGTAATTTTTTTGTACTCTATTGTTCTGTATTTATATACTCAAGACATCAATTTACTATGTTCCCTATTGTCAGTACGAAATTTCATTGCTTTACTAGTTCATTAGTTTTAGTAATCGATATAGTACTGTAAAAGGTCAGTGTGTTATGCATTCATAATAATACTATTCCAGACTCTTGACAAATCAGTTTTTATTTATACCTTTACTTTCAACATTCCATTTTCATTGTGGAATTTTCTCCTTTCTGATAACTGACAGTCAAATTGTTTGAGTTGCTAAGGAAAGAACTCATCACTTTTCCATTTTTCTGATAGATGCACTGGGTACTATTGACCTACTGGAAAAGGGAACGGGAAGTGTTGTTTTCAGAACATGTTCTGAAGAAAGAAATCGAGTCGTGTTTCAAATGGGCACTTCTGATGCTGTGAGGGCTCTTAATGCTGCTCAGATGGTGTAAGTTTATTCTAGACTCCTTTCTAGATGTCATAATCATAATAATAGTATAAGGTGTAGCTTTTTGAAGTCGTATTGGACTAAACCAAAAAGGTTTTCCTCCAATATATGTATTCTTATCTGATTGGTTACCCTTTGTAGGTGTAAAGATGTTGCTGCAGTGGACATCAACATGGGCTGCCCTAAATCCTTCTCTATCTCTGGAGGGATGGGTGCTGCACTGTTAACTAAACCAGAGCTCATTCATGATGTATGCATTGATTTCTCCAACCTGGAGAGTTTATTAAATCTTGAATTCTATTTTTTCAACTATATATCAAGTACTCCGGTGAGTAATATCTTGACATTTTATTCACTGTGGTCCAGATTTTGACAACATTGAGGAGGAACTTAGATACACCCATAACATGCAAGATTCGTCTCTTGAAATGCTCGCAAGATACTGTAGAGTTGGCACGTCGAATTGAGAAAACTGGAATCTCTGCCCTAGCTGTCCATGGAAGGTGACTTCTTGAGTTACGACTAATATAAGTCGAATCACAATTTTCCGTATTATATTGTTGATTTGACTTCAGCTTTGTTTAAGCCTTCATACTCCATCTGTCCTATTTTTTCTTGGATACTTTGACTTTTGTATAAATGGGACAAGTGTGACAAATTGGGATGGGTGAAAAAGGAAAAAAAGATTCATAAATTGGGACTAAGGTCCAAGAGAGTACATTATTTCACTTATATTTCTTGACAGTTCTTTGTGATTGAATTCGTAAACTCAAGAATCATATTTCAGTATATTATGATTAAATCTTGTCACTGACTAGAGAATTTCCCTATTGAGCTGTAGGAAAGTTCCAGACAGACCAAGAGATCCAGCTAAATGGAGTGAGATTGCTGATGTTGTTTCAGCACTATCTATTCCAGTTATTGCAAATGGCGATGTTTTTGAGTATGATGATTTCCAAAGAATCAAAGATGCAACAGGTATCTTCCATAGTTCCATAATAACTTGAGAAGCATCATCTCTCCCTTCTTACCCTTCTGTGTATATTTCTGCTAAAGAGTCATCGACTTTGTTGTGGTAAATCTAATACTTCATATGAGTTGGAGACTTTGAACTATGAGATATGTTTACAAGTAGATGGACCACAACAGATCAGAGAAGGGCTGCACTTATGTGTGTCACAATATATTTATGCATATGGGTTAAGAAGCAGACCACTAATTTTGAAACTGAAAATGAGTAACCGTGTAGAAGATATATTTCACGGCAGGAGCTTTTTATTAGTTTCATACATGCAAATGTGCTTAATAGAATAGTCCAACTTAGAAATAAGTCGATCATGCTTCAACACTACATGGTACATAGTATTTATTTGCATTTCATAATTGTTGTATTTTTATTATAATGCAACAATTGTAGGCAATTATTGTATTCAATGATTGCAGGTGCATCATCTGTGATGGTTGCCAGGGGCGCACTTTGGAATGCTTCTATATTCTCTCCTAAGGGCAAACTACCCTGGGATGATGTGAAAAAAGAGTATGTGAGGAAGGTATTTGGTCTCTGCTAATACTCTCCTGGGAAAAGGTTCCACATTTTCTATTTGTTTTGTGGTTTATATTTTTTTGTCTTTCCTCTGAATAAATCTCATCCACGCAATTTCATCTTTATTAATAATGGTGTCCGTCCGGTCAAGTATGGAACTTTATTTCGAGATGGAGTGAGTATCAAATTAAATCCTTGCATGGGTTTCCTTTTCTTGTCTGCTTTGCCCGATTGAACGAACATTTGGGATAGTTTCCCATAGAGAGTTTGCTCTATCGGTCTATTCTTTGATGTAGCTGAACATACCTAATTTCTGTTCCTCCATTTGTAGAGTATCCTATGGGACAATGACATCAAAAGCACTAAGCATACACTGAAGGAAATGATCATGCATTATTCTTGCCTTGAATTCCCCGAGGGAAAGGCTGTGATAAAATCCGAGACATTGGAACATTTAGCGTAAGTTTGAAAGTTCAGTCTTTTAGTACCTTTCTCACCTTTCCAAATCTAATGAATGAGGATACATCTCATTTTAAAGTCGTTTCAACCCATTACAAAAAAGTGGCGGGTAAACGGGCAACAAACTGCACTGAAACCTCTTTTCAACCATTGTTCAGTTGCTTAAATTATATTTCAATTATCCAAAGTTGAGATTATATCGAGCTTTGTTGTTGTTAAAAATACAGGAAATTTTACGAGGAAGAAAGCTATTATCGACACGTAATGCAGAATAGGTGTGTTTCTGGAGGAAGCAGATGACACTGATTTTATTGGGATGTCAAGAAAAAAACAGCATATATGTGCATTTAAGTAATTTAGAGCTGTGTTGTACTCTTAAGTAACAAATTCATCTTGAGAAAATTTAGGGGAGGTTTAATCCTCAGATTGGCAATTTAAGTGCGCTTTCAACACTTTCATACATCATAGTGCTCGCACTATGATTTTGTAATTTACGCAATAGTGATTTAGGCGTGCTCCCTCGTTCATTCCTTTTATTGAAAGAAAAAAGTGAAAAAAAATTATTTTTGGTAGATTTAGAAAAAAAAGTGTGAATTTTATTTTGTGTCAATTATGCACATAAATTTCTAATTCTTTGTTTTAAATTTAGGAAAAAACGTAATATTTTGTAGCATGAATATTTATATTCATATTTTTTTAATATAAATTTATTATGTAGTAATATGTAAAAAATGTAATATTTTGAAGCATACCATTTATATTTTCTAATGATTTGATACTTTAATAATATTATTAATCTATCTTCTCTATATTGAATATTAAAAAGTAAACAATTAAATCTTTCAAGATTATTGTCAACGATTTTTTATTTTAATGTATATAGAAATTGATTATTTTTATTTCATAAATCTAATAGTTCTAGAATAAAAAATATTAATTGTTTTAAAATATAAATGATTATTATACTATTTCCGTCTCATTTTAAATTGCCTGTTTGCCTTTTTTTTCCGTCTTAAAATAAGTTACATGTTAATTATTTTCGTAAACTTTTAAGAGTAAAATTCCTAAACTACTTCTAAAAAGTACTGACAATTTCAGAAAATTAACTTTATTTTTTCTTTTTTTTAAATATGCCCAAAAGTCAAAACAGACGATTTAAAACGAGAAGAAGGAAGTAGTTTTTAAAAATTATCAAATTATGGTGATAATTTTAAGTTTAATTTAAATTAAATTTAGATTTATCCGATCACATTAGATCATATCAAATCAAATCAGTTCAAACTAAATCAGATCTAATTAGATTATATCAAAACTTCAAAAAAATGTTCAGACTAAACCAAACAGGGATGGATTTTGCTAACATTTTCTTCTTCTCATCTCCTCCGGTTCTCCTGCGCTGCACGCACCTCCTCCTGGACGGCCCCTCCAAACCACCAATCACTCTTCCCATTCCATCACTTGTTTCTTTCTTTCTCTATTAGCTGTGCTCTGTAAATCTATGACATCCGGCCCCATCCTCTATCACTTTGTCACTGTCGCAATCCCTTTATTATGTGGAGTACTATTTTTTTTTATTTATTTCCAGTTTTCATCATCATCAGTTCTCTCAATTCGCCTATTGAATCCCCTGCTCTGATGATCGAAGCAGGGGCGCTCAGATTGAACATCGTCATCGGCTTCGAGGAATTGTTCTGGCGGCGGTTTCGTCTATGGAGGCTTCGTATTACGCACAAACTCGCAATCGCCGCCGGGATTTGCCGCATCAAGCCGCCCTAGGGTTTCCACTCTCTTCGGCGTTTCTGCTGGTCCTCGTTTTCGGCGTGAGCGCTGCTGTAATCTGCTGCTATTACTACTGGGATAAACTCTCGTTCCTCCGCCGCTCTCCCCTCCCTGTCCCCTCCGATCTCGCGGATTCTCCCGGCGTTGATTTTGGCCGCTGGGAGCTGAACGTTCTTCCCCAGGTATTCCATGCTTTATCTCTTGAGTCGGAATTCTGTATGGAATAAATATTATCGGTTCCATGTTAAAATTATGTTTTCAGTTACTATTCACACGATCAAGCTTAAATCACTTTTTTTACTTATTTCCGTTACTTATTTGATAAAATAATACGGAGTATAGTCTTGACACCTCTCGTTTTGTAATATAAATTTTATTTTTTTAATTTTACTCCTAGAATCATATAAATTAAATTGGTAATAAATTCGGTCAAATCTCGTAAATACAAACGGAAAGATGATTTTAAGACGGAAGTACTCAGTAAATGACGAGATCTAGGGCCTGTTTGGGAATAGCTTTAGCGATTAGCGTTAGCGTTTTGAAAAGGCTATCGACGAGATTAGCGTTAGTGTTTTGAAAATAATCTGCACCGTTAAAATTTTATCCAAAACGCTAACCTAATCTCTAACGTTATTCCCAAAGAGGCCCCTATTCAACCCTAAGTCCCTAACTTACTTAAAAACTCAGCTGGGGCTTTTTTGGTCATAGGAGGAGATATGAATTTTCGTATTTTTCGTCCAGTGTGAAAACAATTTGAATTAGGCTGAAAACAATTTCATATCTGATATATTCAGATATTTCAAATTTTTTAAATGAAAGATTTCTTAAAAAAATTGGGAGATATTGATGCGTGAATTTGATGTTTTTTCTCCAACTGTTTATCATCATTTCTTTCAGATTTTAAAATTATTTCAAACTTTACATCTTATCATATTTCTAAAAGTCATTGAACAGATTTAAAGTTAATACTCCCTCTCCCCTAAATAGTTTCTCATATATTATTCACAAATTATAATGCCTAACTAAATTGATTTTGTTACTTATCTTTATTACCTACAATGTTTAATAAGTGTCATTGTTTATTTGGTAAAATTTTCGTGATTGTTGTTTCAAGCTTCCTATAATTCTAGATTCTGTGTGCTTTTCCATTGGTTACTTAATAAGAAAATATTTTTGTCACGATTGATTTTGTAATATTTTTTATTTGGTTTTTAAATACTTCTTCCCTCCTAAAACTTTCTTCCCGTTACGCAAAATGAAGAAAAATCCCAAGTTTTTTCAATCTATTTTATTCAAATATTGGCATAAAAATAAAAAATAAACCATATATATTTAAAAACTACATCAAAAGTTCAACAAAACAAGTGGTGACAAGAATATTTTATTTTATCATATAGGCCATGAAAAAACACAAATAAATATAAATTCTCGTGAGGTTGGAATAGTGCTCTGGGAAGAAAGTTTTAGGACAGGAATTATATAAGTTGTACTCCGTACTTTTTATTTCTAGACTAATTTGTAAATAAAATCTTTTTAAATAAACAAGATTTTATATATTATGCGAAACATGAAAAAAATTTAACAACGAAAGAAATTCTTTTCATCGATTGGCTTCTTTTGACATTACAACTCAATTGAGGCACCGTATTTGTTTCTTTTTTTAATATGACATACTCTAGGTCTTTTTTTAATTTTTTTCATTTGATTTTTCACATCATTCAATATAACACTTTGAGTATACATACATACATACATATATATAATTGCATAAAAATTTAATATTTTAAAATTATATTTCAAAATGAATTTATTGACATTAAATGGGCATTACAATTCAATATTTTTTTTGTAATTTGGAGTTGAAATTTAAAAAAGTTATACTATAAAATCAAGAGATGCAAAAGAGACGATAAGAGTAAAAAAAAAGTTATTTCAATTTTTTATAATTAAAGATCAAGATAACAACAACAACAACAACAATAATAGTAATAATAATAATAATACATCATCCATCCCATAACTTTGAGAAACTGGTGTGCACTTAGAATACACTAACTTTGGGACACCCCTAGCAAACCACAAACTTTATTATTCCCTCACTCCATAGTTTACTATATACGAATAAAATTATCTTTTATTTGAATATGTAATTATTTGTGCTAATTAAAAATTTAAAATAAAATTTATGTACTTGAAAACTATGGGTTTATATATAAGTGCTAAAAGTGACTATTCCCTCCGTCCTAAAATTAACTTTTCACTTTTCTTTTTGGGTTGTCCTGAAATTATCTTCTCACTTTCTAAAAAAGTCAACTTTACACTTCTTCAATGACACATTTGCCCTTCCGCCTAAAGAATTCTAAATCTGATCTTTCCTCTCATTTCACCACCATCTCAAGAACTCTATCCCAGGTCCTCTCTCCCCCCTTTCGTTCTTGATTTCTTTAATTTCATTCTCTTTGTTTGGATTTAGAGAATGATCGTTTCATTCCTTGATCTCCATTATTCCCAAAACTGAGATCCAATGTGAAGGGGCCTACGATGGTGAGGAGGGCACATATCTTGATGTATCCCATCATGGCGGTCACGTTTTCCCATATCCCAACTGGATCTTCACAGATCCAAGAGGAGCACGACCAGCGAGAAATTGTTTTGATACATTCTGGAATTGAAGGTAATTTGCTTCCCTTTTGTAATTGTTTCCATCATCAGGGGATGGAACGATGCTCCAAACCAAAAAGCTAAAACCATTTCTTTCAATTTGAGTCAATGAATAAGGTTGACCCGTTTTCCATGAATTTGAGAAGGTGTTAAACGAAAAAGACAACTGGGAAGAGAAGAGATAAAGCAATGAAGTCTGGTTTGCAGAGCTACCACGGATTTGGTATTGACATCCGCTTAAAGGTTGAGGGGCATTTCTGGAAAGTCAAAGCATTTTTTACACTCCCTTAAAAATGATCTTCGGTCAAACCGAGAAGTTAAATATAGGACGGAGGGAGTATTATATTTTAGCAACAACAACAACAACCCAGGTGAATCTCACAACAGTAGGGTCTGGGGAGGGTGTGTGTACGCAGACCTTGCCCCTACTCGGAAGTAGGGAGGCTGTTTCCGACTATTATATTTTAGCAAATGCTCAATAAAAATATATTTCCTCGTCTAAAACTACTTGTATGTTTAGTATTAATAGGATTAAGATCAAATTTTATTATTTTCTTTACTAATTTGATAAAATAATATACCTCATGGATGCTTAATATTTTCCCTAGGACTGTTGATCGGTCGAGATCCAAATATTAGTATCCGGGCCTTATAATAGTGAGGAAATAATATGAAAAGAGTAATGGACTGCAATGGAAGGTATTGCACACAGAGTATGAACTCAAACCTAGGGATCAGAATATGCTCAAGGATCGCCTGAATATGTTTATTATTATTCAAGTCTCTTCTCTGTCTATTACTCTGCCTGGAGTGCAAGTTATCTTTTCCATTTAAGTTTATTCTCCTTTTATAGGAGCTCCCCAGCCACCATCTCATCTATATATTCGCAGTGGTTGGGGAAAATATCTGGGCAATCTCCCTCCTTCCCAGAAATGTATCCCTCAGCTTAAGGCCATTCACCTGAGGACAAATCTGTCCATCCGTCCACTATCCCTTGCTTCCTCTATCCATTTGCCCGCCTCCTTAAGGAGGCGGCTTACCCTAATTGTGGGACTCCCTTCCTTTGGGTGACCCGTCTTCGTGGGCTGAGGTCCAGCCCACACCTTCAAGTCCCTAACCTTATTTCCTTCCCTACCTTGTCTCTTGGACAGCTTCTCTTTGCCGGCCCATTATATTAAATTTAGGCCGGATCTCCTTTATAATGTACGGATTCTAAATTGGGCCAAGGCCCAATTTTACTAATGTTCCCTCGATGGGCTCGATTCCCATCACATTCCCCGTTTTTTTCAAGTTAAAAAATAAAAAAAAATTCACTGTAGTACACCTTGCATTTTTGAATTGGGGATGTTCTCGATTTTCTTCCTGGGAATATTTTTCCTAATTTGGGAAAAGCCACTTCCTGAAAAAGTTACTCTGCATTGACTCCTGTGGATGTTCCCCAATGATGCTATCCTTCATGGGTCATAGGAAATAATTGGTGGGAGTGGGATGCATGTAACCACATCCTTCTCTTTGGACCATAGTGTCAATGGGCCCCCAGGTGATCGTTTGGCACATAAACGGTCATCGGACCGTTCTGATCTCTTCGCCATTTAAAGTTCTTGTCCCACTTCAATAATGTTGGGACCGTTGGCAGGGGGAAGGATACTAGCAGTGGATCGTGAGCATGGGGAAGGACACCGAGAGTGGACCGCTTGGAACTCACGTCCACTTAAATGTCCGAAGTTCACGAAGCCCCGGCCCACTTCACGGTCGTATTTGTGGGGGCGAAAGAAGGAGAGGAAAAGCTCCAAGGTAGGCCGAATGCCTTTCTTGTGGCATCGGGCAAGGAAGCAAAAGATGGACTCGTGAGAGTTAGAGGAGATTTGACCACGAGGAATGGTATACCGGTTGCAAATCTCCACCAAAAAAGGATGCATGTAACCACATCCTTCTCTTTGGACCATAGTGCCAATGGGTCCCCAGGTGACCGTTTGGCACATAAACGGTCATCGGACCGTTCTGATCTCTTCGCCATTTAAAGTTCTTGTCCCACTTCAATAATGTTGGGACCGTTGGCAGGGGGAAGGATACTAGCAGTGGATCGTGAGCATGGGGAAGGACACCGAGAGTGGACCGCTTGGAACTCGCGTCCACTTAAATGTCCGAAGCTCACGAAGCCCCAGCCCACTTCGCGGTCGTATTTGTGGGGGCGAAAGAAGGAGATGAAAAGCTCCAAGGTAGGCCGGATGCCTTTCTTGTGGCATCGGGCAAGGAAGCAAAAGATGGACTCGTGAGAGTTGGAGGAGATTTGACCGTGAGGAATGGAATACCGGTTGCAAATCTCCACAAAAAAGGGATGCATGTAACCACATCCTTCTCTTTGGACCATAGTGTCAATGGGCCCCCAGGTGACCGTTTGGCACATAAACGGTCATCGGACCGTTCTAATATCTTCGCCATTTAAAGTTCTTGTCCCACTTCAATAATGTTGGGACCGTTGGCAGGGGGAAGGATACTAGCAGTGGATCGTGAGCATGGGGAAGGACACCGAGAGTGGACCGCTTGGAACTCGCGTCCACTTAAATGTCCGAAGCTCACGAAGCCCCAGCCCACTTCGCGGTCGTATTTGTGGGGGCGAAAGAAGGAGATGAAAAGCTCCAAGGTAGGCCGGATGCCTTTTTTGTGGCATCAGGCAAGGAAGCAAAAGATGGACTCATGAGAGTTGGAGGAGATTTGACCGCAAGGAATGGAATACCGGTTGCAAATCTCCACCAAAAAGGGATGAATAGGGAAGCGCCATCCCATCTTGAGTCGTAATGAACGACCAAGCGGCGGGGAGTGTTGTGATTGAACTCAAAAGTGGTCCCGTCGGTGGGACAGACCTCGTAGTTGAGGGGAATCAGTGCCCTCATCTCCCTCATCTGAGCATCGGTGATGGAGGATACATTCTCATCCTTCTGGATTTCTTGCTGCCGTTGAAAAGTTTGGAAGCCTTGGAGATGACTTTCTTCACTTTGGAGAAGGAGATGAGAGGAAAGGAAGAAGGTCGAGAGGAAAGTATGGGAGTAAGGGTTGTGATTGCTGTGAAAGATAAGGTGAGGAAAAGAGAATGGAGAACTTGCCGAATATATAGAAGGGAATAGAGGAGAAGAAAAACGATCCATATACAGTTAAGGTGGGGAAAGGAATCGCTTCAGGAAACGTTTCAGTCCCTTATTGAGGTGGGCCAGGGACATTTAAGTTGACGCGAGTTCCAAGCGGTCCACTCTCGGTGTCCTTCCCCATGCTCACGATCCACTGCTAGTATCCTTCCCCCTGCCAACGGTCCCAACATTATTGAAGTGGGACAAGAACTTTAAATGGCGAAGAGATCAGAACGGTCCGATGACCGTTTATGTGCCAAACGATCACCTGGGGGCCCATTGACACTATGGTCCAAAGAGAAGGATGTGGTTACATGCATCCCACTCCCACCAATTATTTCCTATGACCCATGAAGGATAGCATCATTGGGGAACATCCACAGGAGTCAATGCAGAGTAACTTTTTCAGGAAGTGGCTTTTCCCAAATTAGGAAAAATATTCCCAGGAAGAAAATCGAGAACATCCCCAATTCAAAAATGCAAGGTGTACTACAGTGAATTTTTTTTTATTTTTTAACTTGAAAAAAACGGGGAATGTGATGGGAATCGAGCCCATCGAGGGAACATTAGTAAAATTGGGCCTTGGCCCAATTTAGAATCCGTACATTATAAAGGAGATCCAGCCCAAATTTAATATAATGGGCTAGCAAAGAGAAGCTGTCCAAGAGACAAGATAAGGAAAGAAATAAGGTTAGAGACTTGAAGGTGTGGGCTGGACCTCAGCCCACGAAGACGGGTCACCAAAAAGAAGGGAGTCCCACAATTAGGGTAGGCCGCCTCCTTAAGGAGGGAGGCAAATGGACAGAGGAAGCAAGGGATAGTGGACGGATGGACAGATTTGTCCTCAGGTGAATGGCCTTAAATTGAGGGATACGTTTCTGGGAAGGAGGGAGATTGCACGGATATTTTCCCCAACCACTGCGAATATATAGATGAGATGGTGGCTGGGGAGCTCCTATAAAAGGAGAATAAACTTAAATGGAAAAGATAAGTTGTAATAGAGAAAGAAGAGACTTGAGTAATAATAAGCATATTCCGGCAGTCCTTGAGCATATTCCGATTCCTAGGTGGACCGAATAGAGGAAAGAATCACCGGTTTGAGTTCATACTCTATGTGCAATACCTTCAATTACAATCCATTACTCTTTTCATATTATTTCCTCACTATTACAAGGCCCAGATACTAATATTTGGACCTCGACCGATCAACAGGCCTAGGGAAAATATTAGGTATCCATCAATACCCATGTTACTTCTTATTTCATATTGTAGATCATATGATATAATTTTTAAATATGCAAGTTTTATTTTTTTTATTTGACTTAATTCTCAAATAAATTGATTTTAAAATAACTTCAATCATATATCGTAAATCAAAATACACGACTTAATTTGCGACATAAAAAGTATAAGTATACATGATACTCCCTTCGTCCTAAGTTAGATTACAATATTTTAGAATTTATCTCTCGATATTTACTTGTTTATATATTTTCATTGACTATTGATAAAATAAATTATTTTTGTAATATCTTGTTTTGTAAATTTTTGACGTAATTTTTAATATATACTCCCTCCGTCCGAAAATATTCTTCCATTTGACATTTCACGTTCTCCAATATTGCGCTTTGATCATTAATATCTACATTTGTACATAGATATATTTTATAAAAATTTAATTTTTGAAAACTACGTTTCATTATGAATATATTGATGTTAAATTTACATTATAATACAATGTATTTTTTCCACAAATTGTAGTCAAAGTTTACAAACTTTGACCAAGAAAAGTCAAATGTGAAGAAAATTTTCAGACAGAGGGAGTAGATTCTATTAATTACATAGTATTTTAATACGAATTTGGGACGGAGAAAGTATAATTTAAGTGTGAATAGTAATTGGAAAAAAATTGGGATAGAGGAATTATGAATTTTTGCTGATTTTTATGTGGTTTGCGCAGGAGAAGCAAAATCTTGGGCAGAGCTTGCCGGTGTTAATGCCCGGAGATGAAGTGCCGAAGTTCATTGCGTTGCCGTGCCCGTGTCGGCCGCCGAGGTCACTCTAGCTGCCGCCACCACAACCAACCACTCCATGGGACTGAAATACCCTCCATTATGATTACTCCATAATTTCTTTAATTTTGAGGAAAAAAGGGCTAAGCTGTTTGGCTTGCCAAGATAAATACTTGTACAATATTATTAACGCGATTTCCATGACATTGGAACCTCATATCATGGGATGACCTGGAGTGCTACGGTGTCCCGTTCATAAAATTGACGATTTATATACCCTAATCCCCATGTAAACCCTGCCCCGAATACACCCTCCCACCCCCCTTCAATTGCACCCCGCAAGTTAATTTTGACTTTGAAGTAACTCTCTAAAGTCAAAATTAACTTGGAGGTGCAATTGAAGGAGGTGGGGCGGAGTGGGGGGATTTACCGGGGGATTAGGGGTATGAATCGTCAATCTTAGGAATGGGCACCATAGCACATCGGGTCAACTCTAGTTGTTGAAACAATATATGAACCAACACAATCATTGCTACAAAGGAATACAACGATATCAGACGAAGGAGAATCACATAATACCTCTTGCTTGCTATGAGTATCAACTGCAAATTCATTTGATAAAATGACAGAGTTTGAGTTTCCAGCTGAGAAAAACAAGAACACCAAGAACAAGGGGACCAGTGTCAAATTAGGACTTTCTGGTTCACTCCATCCTCTCTCCCGATTAAAACCGGTGTGGCTGTCTTGATGAAGAAGATCTATGACCAATTGTTTGCCCGCTTTGTTTTTTTGGGCTCTCTTCGATTTTGGGTCCCGCTTGCATAGCACAGGCATTCGGCCGATGTTTCACCATCTGGCACATGCATCTGTTTTTGGACGACATCTTAATATTAGAATTTGAAAAAATACAGTAGTAACGGAGAGAGCACTTTTAGGGAATGTAAATGGCTAAATGATACTCGTGCCCGACTAATTTTGGGACACTGGGGTTGACACAAATCGAGAAAAAATGGAATTGTGTGGTAATGTGGTTGATATTCGATTCGAAAAATATGAATTGACTTGAGGAGCTGGGAGTTGGGAGGGTGTTGGCTTTTGAAAAAAATTATTATTTGACCATAGAATCGAAAATCATCTCAAAGCTCCTTCTTAGTCCCAATGACAGTACTACTGATCATTACCAAACTGCTTCTATTTGATGTGAAAGCTGATAAACAGTTACAGAAACACACTGGAAACACCCTTATGAACTTGACAAATCTAAACTCACCAAAAGTACATGTTTTCTACATGACCACACTTGCACTTTAGGTTAACCGTAGCAACGGAAATGAAATCCAAACACAACAAACTTCCCATACAAAACTTACCGTATAATGTGCATATGTTTGATATCGCGAAGTTAGGTTGGCCTAGCTCCAAAATACATTTAATGGTTGCTTGCGTAAATCTTCCCTCTAACACGATATTGGTGTTCCCATCCTAGATGTGATCTCTAAGAATTCCTCGAAGGTATTCTAGCTGTTCAAATCCCCCTTGAAGCTTTTCCCACTGCAAAACAATATCAACAACCCAGAATATGAACAATAATAACATATAATCCTAGGGTTCAACGACAACTAAGGATTTGTAACACACCCAACCACTAGAGTTATTCTCTAGTGGAAGTATATGCAGATAATAATCACCTGGTCATAATTTGTGTATTCTAGGGCAGTATGGCTCAAAGTGATTAATAATGCTACCTAAAGCATTTAAAAAATCACAATGAAAGAACGATGTTGACAAAAATGATACTCTGTAATAAGTGATTTCATATGTATTGATAAAAGTGTTTCATGTTAAAGTAACTTACTCCTTAGAGTCCTTACTTGAGTCTCAACACAGTAAATGGAATTAATGGACTAATGGTGTTGTTGGATTTTAAGAGGACTGAGCCCAATTATGACCATTTGGGTTGAAAACCCATTTCTTTACTGCATCTAAGATTAAATACAAGTTGAATGGGATAGGCTCTCAATGAAGACATTAAATGTCAGAATTTACAGAACGGTTGCTCATCAACTGAGCCGGTTGCAATGTGACACCTTTTTTATTCTTCGCCAATAAGAAGTATTTCCATTAAAATTTTGAAAGAATTCAGAAAACCTTGTCATACTATGAAAAACAAGCAGTATAAATAGAAAACTTACTTCCTGTTGAGAAACAGATACAAGTTTCCACCCAGCAGCAGTTATGTACCGGCGCTTCAGCATTGTATGTCCCAATGGAGATCCTATGTATAAAAACGATTAAAACAGTTGTAGCTAAGATTACAAGCATTATATGGAAGAATACTTTTTTGTATGCTTCACTCTTAACCTTTATACTGTTCTTTTACTGTCTTTATATGTAAGAAAAAGATTGAGACTATGATGTACCCACCTGAGTTTCTTGAGAAATGGGTTGGACCATCAATCTCAAGAGCAATTTTTTTGTCAATAACAACTGCATCCAATGTGTAATCATCGACGCGATGTTCTCTTACCCAATCAAACCCGGTGCTAACAAGAAGGCGGACAACCTCTTCCTGGAAGGAAGAAGTCACTTTCTGATTAAACCTTTTGGTTCTTCCGGCACGAGAAATTTTCTCCTCTAGACCACTTTCAAGGAATAAGTGGAGATTTGGGTACTCAAGCTTCAGGCACTTGATAGCAAGATGAACTTGAGAGGCGAACACGACATCCTCCTTGTATTGCTCAGAAATTCGTTGTTTCTCAAAACGGCTCATCGCATTCCACACATGGAAGAAGAATATTCGATTCATTTGCCCAAAAACAGAAAACGACCAAGATATGTTTCCAAGCTGATCCCTGTTGAAGACAAGTACAGGCAGAGTTGAGACTCCTTGTGTTCTATCAGTGGCCCTCTCTGCTCCACTTTCATCGCGGTGAGCAAACATATCATTACTATTATTATTGTTACAACTATCATTAGAGAAGCATTGGAATTGATTGGCATCATTGAAAACATCATCTAAAACATCTAGTAATTGATTGACAGGTTCATAAAGAGAAGCAAATGCCCAAAGCATCTGAGCCATTTCTTGAGGCTGAAAGGTGTGAATTATAGCACATGCCCTTCTTGATAATCCACAAAAGAGTTCAGGAGCCGAGTGCCTCATAGAAGCAAAAGCACCAGCCACATTAGCAACATTTTGTGAATTGAATTCATCAACCTTATCCAATGCTACCTCGGCGATTCTATCCATTTCTGAGAGATAAAGTAGCTCACCACCAACCTTTGACAATGCCCAAGCAATATTTGAAATGCCCTGCGCCGAGCACTCGGGCAAGGAAGCCATTGCAATGCCCACAAGCATACACATCTCCTTTTGACGAGCAAATGCCAACCTACGGTTCCCAGCCATGGAAACCTTCTCCATGTTCTTGGCAATTCTATGCAGTGCAGTGGCAACATTCAAGGGAGAAAGAGGCGAAGGGCTAAGCCCTCTCACAACAGCCATTATTGTGTCTGCAGTGACCTCCAGAACTTCCTCGGCCGTCTGCGCATCAACAATTGCTTTGTTCAAGTTAATTTCTTTCCTGCGGTCTGATGCTCCTGAAAACTGGGAGAGCCTCTCCACAAATGTTTCCATGTTTTTAGCTTTCCTTTCTTCAAACATACCACCAGCGAATGCGCTTATATTCCTCCTGATATCATTCATCTCACCAGACAGCTCACCCTCCAAATCAAAATCATCTTCCTCAGAATCAAAATCCAAGAAATCGTCCTTTTCGAGTGACCGTTCAACCTTTTTGGCATCAGATTTTTTCTTGGTCTTCTTCTTGTTCTTGTTCTTAGCATTTCTAACCATGCTCCTTGCAACCGCGGTCAACCCGCGGGCCTCAATCGACTCAAGGGCAATCTTCCTAGCCACCACACACCAATCCATCTCCTCAGTATCATGGAGCAACCTAGATTTGGCCAGCTTTTTTGTCTTCTTTGAAGAAATACCCTCACCTGTGCTCTTCTCTCCCAGGAACTCGGCTTCCCAATCTTCATCATGTTCATCTTCCCAGCTTTCGCCAATATCACAATTTAAGACTCTAGCACCGACTTTATTATAATCTGTAGATGGATTTATGCAATGGAAAAGGGCTGCCGGTTTGGATGAACGATTGAATCTGTGAGAAGCAATAGGAAACGCATTTCTGGGAGTATCGAAGAAAAGACAGAGAGATGGAATTGAAAGAACGGGATTCTGGAACCTTGAGGATGGGTTGAGCATCACAGTTGCCATGGATTGCTCACTTGTGCAAGATGAGAAAAAAATAAAATCTTCCACAATGAGGATTAGGATTTAGGAGATAAAAAACATTAAAAATAGAGTAGTTAAATTCGTACTTGGTCCGTCCTGGAGTGTTTGTCCATTTTTAACTTTTGGAACTATTTATCTAAACACTTTGATTCATCAAATTCTCTCAATGTGTAAGCCTAAAAATAGTCATGTGTGATCTTGTTTGATTCGTCTTAACATATAAATTATTAATTTATAATTTTTAATATACACATTACAAGATAAAATGGATTAAAGAAGTGCATTGGATGGTGTGCAAAAATGAAAGTGGACAAATACTCAGGGACGGAGGGAGTACTAAATAATACTCAAACATATGTTTTTTTTTCAATGTAGTACTTAAATTTTTTTATTTCTTAAATAGTGGCGGAAACAATGTCCAATGTTGGATATTTAGTCTACGATACAGTAGATAGAATATTTTTTATTCCATGTTTATATCCGTGAAATATTTAATTGCGAGAAATCCAATTTTTATCTTCTCACATTTGAAAAATTATGTATACACAATTGAAAATAGATGATGTTCATTACAATAATATAGAATGTTCATTTGTGAATAATATGATGTTCATTTAGGAGAATCAGACCACCTTGATCCAGAAAGGCAATACCATTGTCATGCCTCGCCTCAGACAACCAAGAGCTCAAGAACGTTGGACAATGTGTTATCATTAAATATGTATATTTGCAGTATTCTTTGTGCATTGACGATTTTGATAATGGCAAAAGGTCAACATCATTTGAGTTTCAAGACTAGGAAAGAGCTTGATTCAAGAAGGTTCAAGATCGAAAATTTTATTACCTTGGTTCGGTAGTTTTTTTAGGTCTTAGAATGTGTGTTAAAAAATATGAAATCTCAAAGGTTCGTCCATTGAAAATCCTTCCTTGACCGTTTGATTAGGCCTTTTAGTGGAGAAGTTGCTCTTTTATCCGAATAGCCTTTAGCATATTCGATTAAACAAAGAGCTTTAGTTGTCTAATTTGAGTGTGACTTATTTGAATAAGTTTGCTTGTGTTTTTTAACCCACCTGCTCGAATACTCTTTGGACATGTTCGAATAAACGAACAGTTCCAATTCTCAAATAGATATACTTTTTGAATATTTGATCCCCATTAACTCTCTACCTTATATAAATTACGTAGCTAGGGTCGTGAATTTGAGTACAGAATATTATTATTACATATTCTCTTTGCAAATCAAAGAGTTCTCTAAATTACACAATCTTGACGTTGTAGTTATTTTTTCTTTTTAAAGGAAGGTATACACAATCTTGACGACTTGACATTGTAAGAAGTATACAAAAATAACGAGATAGTTTATACTCTATACGATTGTAAAAGATCAAATCTACATTGAAATTATTTGGGTGGTATTTCAAAAATAATCAATTGAATAAGACGTGAACTTCTAGAACTGAGTATGTGGTGTTCTTTACCCGAACCATACCTGATGGGTGTATTCCCACCCAGGACCTGGGCCGGGTCGAGTGCTACAACAACCAGCTGGGTGGGTCTAAGTAAAGCTCTGTAGAAGGAAATTAGGATGAGCACAGATCCGGCCGGACAGGTCTACCAAACCACTCCACCCAGGTGGCTTGGCACCCATGACGTTACCGGTTAGGAAGGAAGACTTGACGGAGAAATTCATCAACCAACAAGGCTTCCCAGAGTAGTAAAGCTACATGATTCCAACTCAGTGGCACATCAGCTTTGCCTATTTCATCTCCATTTCATTCTCATTCAGGAGTGTTGATCCCTGTTTCATCCCTATTCTTTTTTTATTTTTTATTTTTACATATGAATCTTATAATATTTAATATAATTTTTTAAATCAAATTAAAAATTGAAATTAAAAAAATTTGTAGAATAGATCTACTGAGAAGCTGCAAAAGTAGAATAAGAAGGGGGAGGAGGAGAAAAAAAGAGAAAAAAGGAAAGGAGCGGTGGAGGCTTCCATGCGAGAAGAAGAAGGAAGAAGAGGTGTAGAATTTTAGAATTGAATGACTTGTTTGTGGATACAATCTACATGTGTATATATACAACAATAGTTTCCAAAACATATTAGGAAACATATATGGAGTCCTACTTCTACAAGGAAACAAATTAAGATGAGATATGTACAAACATATTCCAATACGCCCCCTCAAGTTGGAGCATGAAGATCAATAATGCCCAACTTGGATAGCAGAAATCGGAAGAGTGGGCCAGAAAGTGCCTTTGTAAAAATGTCAGCAATCTGAAGACGAGTAGGAACGTAGGTCGTAACGACGTGCTGACGGAGGAGACACTCACGAACAATATGGCAATCAATATCAATGTGTTTGGAGCGTTCATGAAATACGAGATTGGCAGCAATGAATAATGCAGATTTATTGTCACAGTAGAGCTTGGGGATGGCGACGCACGGCACGGATAGGGCTCCAAGAAGGCCGCGGATCCAATGAAGCTCAGCACAAGCGTTTGCCATGGCTCGATATTCTGCTTCAGCCGATGAGCGTGACACGGTTGTTTGTT